TTCTGTGATTACTTGTGGCCAAAAACACTAACCACGTTAGAAGTTTGAGGTTATTAGCTTTTGCCACACAGAACCTTTATTCAAAACAACCAGACGCTTGAGAAGGAAAAGAGCTCCCTCTAGTGGTTGACCCAACTCAGACCTCCCTTTTTCACACGATTTCTATCAGGTCCCTGATTTTGTTTCATGAAGTTACTTTTAAACTCAGACAGACCAGCTGACACCTGCCTGTCAGCATGACTTCAGCTGTGATGATGTCATGCAGCAGCAACACCATTTATAAAACAACGACTCATTTTGCTACACTGAACTCCTCAACTCTGTCCTCTTTCATTTTATCTCCTCTTTGACCTTCACCTCCAAACACTTCCTGTCTTTTAGAATCCCACTCACAAGTACATCCGTATAAAATGCCGCACACACATGCATTCTTGCCACACTCATCCATTTCCTCCTTGCAAGGAAGATGTGTCTTTTCTCTCAGTCAGATGCTGCATCTTTTCCATTTATTATGATAAAGGAATGGAAAATGCCTCTGTGTTTGTCTTTTTTTCCTCTGAGGGTGCTGCATACACACTTATATATAAATTATTTACTATCAGCATTAATGGACCCATCAGGGCTCAGTCCATAAGTTGCTCCTCCAGTAATGAACAACATCTTCATATATAATTGAACTGGAGTATTTTTTCCACCCTTTGGACAACAGGAAAATCAAATCTTAAGTAGTTTGCCTTCATAGCGCTAAATGTGTCCTCCACCCACAACATTCATTGTGATGTGAGTATCTGCTTCCCTTTGCCCTCCATCTCTCTCTCCAATGGCCTTGCTCTCTTCCTCCCACCCTCCTGGCTCCTGACCTGCTGTTGCTCTCTCCTCTCCCACTCTGCTCTTTCATATATAATGCATGTTAAACAAACAGACGTGTCAGAGTCACTCAGATGCACGGCTGTCCTGTCCCAGCGCTACACCTTCAGACACTCTTGGGAGAGAGGGGTGGTGGTGGTCATGTCCTGAAGGCTTCCCTGCAGCAAAGCTGAGCTCACAGACAGCTGCATCAAGTACAAAGTGTACAGTCTGCAAGAAATCGATTTAAGTGCCATATCAGAGTCTATATTTGTCTAAAAGTCTTTGAGTTAAAAAGGTTGCACGAGCAACGAAGGAAGTTTGGCATGTTTAAAAGAAACGAGGGGTGTAAATGAAATGTTTGTGTCACTGCAGAGTTGCAGACGCCTCGTTCAGTGTTTTGTTGGGGTTTTTTTATCCGTACCAAAGCATCCCCTTGTGGGTTTTAGTGCTAAAGACTAAGAGAAAACCATTTTCCCCTCAATGACTTCACATGTAAATCTAATTCTTCTGTTACGGCAAAAAGGAGAGAATGAGCCCCTGCACTGGTGCACTCCTGAATTGTATACATGCATTAATAAACACACACACACACACACACACACATGCACATTCCCTTCTGGGGGGAAGAAATCCCAATTTTCCAGGTGCAGAGGTCTGTGGAAAAGAGTCAGAGGAGCTCATACAGAAACTGCATTATTCTCCATCAGCAGAGTCGAGTGTGAGTCATTATACCATCCACACATACAAGTGGAGTTTACCACTTGACGGAGGGTGTGATGGGGCCTGAAAAGCAGAAGGGTGGGAGTGGGATTGTGCTCGATCAGCAGCAAACAAGTTCATCGTCATATTCTTTGCATAATGTGCTCTGCCCGTATTGCAATGCAATGCAAACTGGCTTTAAATGTGCATCGTGTTGTGCAAAAACTCCCCGAATGTCAGCACTTTGAACATTCTGCTAATGTGCTTTGGCTTCGGTGTCCACGGCCTTAAAACCGAGACCTAAGTGCATTCTGGTGTCTCTCCTAATGAGGCCGTTCAAGGCACAAAAACAGATCAACTGTGCTTTTTTTCTTAAGGAGGTCTCATCTGGGTGGTAAAAATGAGAAGCAAGACTGAATGATTCTCTGTGTTCATTCCATCCACTATGCAGAGATAAAACTGGGTTCATTCAGACAGCTGAGATACACACGGTGACTCAGAGCAGCGTGAGTAGATGGTGTCTGGATGAAAAGGAGCTCTGGTGGCTTTTTCTCTCACACAAAGCAAACACCTGTCCTAGAATAAGGTATTGATTCATCATTTCTCTCAGCTGAAGCTTCGTAAACAAGCTAAGCAGGCATGTGTTCTAGGTAATTGCTGTCTAGTACAAATCAAAGCCTCTCACAGATAAAAAATATATATTCCTGCAGAGAGGCTTTTATTCTTATTCAATAGCATTATAAAATGTACCCCCACGTTTGCAGCGACCTGTGTTTTCATGAAAGCTGAAGCCTCTTGTTCTGAAGAAGCCCAGCTGAGTGGAGCCATTGCTTAGGCTTCCAGTTTAACATCAGTAATGAATGAAAGCAGCAGGGAGTGTTAGCTTGCTGGAAAAGCAGTTTGGGCTCATTTCAGAAAATAAAACATCCAATTCTTTGCTGTTCTCTTTCCTCACACTAGAATGCATCAATGGTTGTTAGGTTTGTTTTATTCTATCAAATCCAATTGAAAACTATTGTTTAAATAAACTAAATGTGTAATCCAGAATAAAACAAAGAACAACTTAGCTTTGCAGCACCCCCACTACCAGGTATGTTCACCTGCACTCCTCATCAGTCCTTATTTGTTTCTATTTTGTTTTAAATGAGCCTAACTTTCTTGTAGTATCTTAAAGTGGTTGTGAGGCACTGTTTTTCCATCATGGGAGAAGAAGTGGAGGTACAGCTGAGGAATACAAATAACTTGGAGTTCACCTGGACAACAGACTGGACTGGAGAAAGAACAGCCAAGCTGTTTACAAGAAGGGACACAGCAGACTGCACTTCTTGAGGACGCTTAGGTCCTTCAATGTCTGTAGCAAGATGCTGCAGATCTTCTACAAGTCTGTTGTTGAGAGTGTAATCTCTTCCGCCATCGTCTGTTGGGGTAGTAGCATCAGAAGCAGGGACCTGAAAAGGCTCAACAGCCTAATAAAAAAGGCTGGTTCTGTTCTGGGGACGACTGTGGAACCACTGGAGGAGATAATGCAAAGAAGGACAACCCTGAGCATTCTCTTCACAAGACTGTCCAAGACAACGGAAGAGTGTCTTCAGTCAGAGGCTTCTTCAGTTTCGCTGCAACACTGACCGCTACTGGAGATCCTTCCTGCCAGCAACCATTGTAATATACAATAATTCTTTGATGACTTGATTATCATTATTATTCTGAGCTACTACAGCAATCAATTTCCCTCTGGGATTAATAAAGCATTTTTGAATTGACTTTAATTGAATTTAGTGATGAATCACTCTTGTAGACACTAAGGAAGGATAGGGAGACATTTCAGCTGTTAGATTAAAGTGTTCAACGCACAGCGAGGAGATTGCTTTCTGTTGTACAAACGGACACTAGGGGGTGCTAAAAGCGAGTCAAAACTGCCTAGTTCTCTCTTAAAGAGACAATGTGTAGTTTGTACCATTAATTTCTGGAAATATCATCCCAGTGTTGTTGAAAATGAATGAAATGATTCCCAGTTGTTGAAAAATATTGACAGCTTTGTTAAATATAACCATAAAACCATGTCTAAAATACATGGGAGCGGGTCTAAGTCTCTGGGCGACGCCATATTAGATGCCATGTTTCCTTCTACGGGAGCCCATGAGGACAAAATGCATTTGTGGATCTGTTACAAAACTTGTTATTCTTGAATGTTGTTGTTTTACACATGTATCTCTTCACTTGTTGCCAGTGATGAAAGGGAGTCTGAAGTGCTTGTCATTTTGCTAAAGTTTGCACTCCCCAGGGCTTTTTTACCCTAATGGGCATCTGTGGACAAGGTCTTACTCCAACACAAAAATACTGCTTGCTTGCAACTATTTAGGTATCGGCTGTCCCTTTTTGCCAGGAAAAATCCACACTGTCACTTTATGATATTCTAAGAATTTATTTGGAATTTGGCATTTGTTTTTCACACATTTTCTGTCCTTCTGCATGGCAGCATTGTGTGAAGAATATATTTTAAAACTAAGAAACGGGAGGAACAATAGGAAATATGTGAGGTCAGAACGTCAGGTCTTTAAAAAGACTAGATTTTGTTCAGCAAAGACCTTTAAACAAAATGTGATCAACTACTGCAGCTCTTTGGGAAAGATCTCTTTCTGTTTGTCAAACAGAATTTTCTTTAGCATGTCAAATAGATTTCATAGATTTTTGTTGTGAGTAGCCTAAATGCAATATTTTAAAAAGGACTTATTTTTTATAAGTTGAGATAATGTTGCACTTTAGAGAATTTTGTAGCTGAAGCTATTTATTCTTCATTTGTGTGTTTAGTTAACATTTCTCATGAGTAATTTTTTATATTGTTGAAACTTTGATTCAAGTCAGCGAACAAGAAACCAAAAATGAATGTGATTGAATCACTCAGTTAAGATAGATTAAACAAGATCTTTATTTGCCATTGCCGTACTGTAATAACTCTAGTCCTCTAAAAAATTTGAGAAAGCAACAAATAAACCCCCCTTGTAATCTATTTTTTCCTTTATCTCTTCCTTCAACCCCATATCTATAAACTATACTCATCTAAAATATTTTTCTACACAGTAATCTTCTAAAGATTTGCATTTTTATTTGATAACATGTTTAATGTTTGCTTAAATTTACGGTGCTTTATTTCCTGAAGCCTGTGGTGTGTGGGGCTTCCGTAGCATATTTAAAAGCTGTAATGTGTGAGTTTCGTCACCAGGTGTCATAAAACTCTTTGATGCTGTTCCAGTTTTACAAAGCAACCACTGAGTGGCAGCAGAGAGGTAAAGATCTTCACGGCAGCGATGATTTGTAGTACAGAAGGAGAAAAAAACGGTTGTAGAAGAAGAAAAGACAAAAGAGTAAACAAAAGGAAGAGAAATGAACAAACCCCTGCCTCTTTTTTATCATTTCGGGTTTCATTGAGTCCGCCGTAGGAGTGAATGGTAGGACGATGTGTTGATGTGTTTTACTTCTCTTTTCTGGTTCATTTTTAGCATTTTGAAAGACCTGTTTGAAGTTATTTTATATTTTATCAGTATTTAATGTGAGGTTAAAGCAATATTTTAGTTTTTTACACTAAATAATTCAGCTAAGTTATTTGTCCCATATCTGCACGTTTTTTCAGCAGGAGGAACATACTTTGACGATCATGTGACGTGATTGTTATATTTTTGCCAAGGTTTTATGATCAAATGCTTTTGCTCCACATGGAATAAATAATGTGTATTAAACGAGAGAAATCCTTTTAAAGGTAATTTCTACCAGTAGGTCATCCTGGTGGTGTAAATGTCTCCGTGTGTCACTTTATTTGTTATTATTTTTATTATATGATGCTGTAGTTGTTGTCGATTTTACAAATATACTCGCTTTTTTTTCTTCAGTCATGTCTGAGGAACCGGCAGCAGTAATCCGATTACTCAGAAGTCAGAAACCAAAGCTGATTGAGATTCTCAGTGCCGATGCAGATTTTGTTCTGCAGCATGCAGATGCTCGCGCTCTGCTTTCCCCACACAGCTACCAGCAGGTGAAACACTGTCGCACTCCTGGTGAAAAGGTCACTGACCTCTTGGATCACATCATCCAGAGAAGTCCTGAATCTGCTCAGGGACTTTTAGACCTGCTGAAAGAACCCGACTTGCAAAAGACCTTCCCAATGCTGTACTTTGTGAAGGACCTGGATGTTCACACACACTCTCCAGGTACACTGCATTGTTAAACACATGTGCTTTTAGCGTTGATTAAATTAATTCTTAATTTAATGGTGTTCTTTTCCTTACAAGAGAAAGACGTTACATCAGTAAAGCGGAAAGAAGTATTCAAAGAACTGGAGGTAATTCCAGCCAAAAAGATCTGCAGCAGCGGTGGGTCCGACTCCAACAATGCGTTTCTCTTCATAATACGACTATCACTAACAGCATGTGCTGCTGTGTGTTTGATTATTTTGTCACAGGTTCCAGTTTAGTGACAGAGAAGCAGCTGATGTCCGTTGCTCGTTCTATCGGCAGATCTTGGAGGGAAATTGGCAGACGGGTTCTGAACATCTCGTCTGTGAAGCTGGAGCAGATTGAAGAGGACCATTCTCTTCATGTGGAGAGAGTTTTTGCCATGCTGCGTTACTGGAGAAAACTCCAGAGGGACAAAGCCACTGCTGCTCACCTGCACTCTCTTCTGAGTCAGGGAGATGAGGCTCTGCTTCCTGAAGACATCGACTTTCTGATCAACTCTGACTGACACCTTCAATGTCTGAGAATCAGACACTTTAACTGAAGATCAATGAGGTTCTTATTATTATGAATAACAGAAATACATTTTTAAAGGGTCTTTACATGTCTGATAATGTCTGTTTTGGGAAAAAAAACATTTCAGCCAATGAGATGTTCAACAAAAGCGATGCAATTGTGTTTATTTTATTTTAATGTAAATAAATTTAAAGTGCAGGATGTAATCATTCTCTTTAAGATGTTTTAATGTTTTGTACTTTTTTCAACATTTAATAAATGTTAATGAGAGAAACTATAAAATGAGAGAACTATAAACACCTCTATGTTTTCATAAGATCAGAAATGACCTAATGAGCTTTTTGGTCATTTAAATTAAATGTATCCAACAACACGGGGTGAAAAAAGCTGTTAAACAGTTATTGACTGATGCCTAATGTATTCGAACGTAGGAGGATAAACTGTCACTTATTAGTGATCAAATAGTGAGATTTTAATGAAGAACAGGTACTGATACTTCTTTAAAACTCAAGGAAACATCAGCATAATGTTATGTGTTTGTGTAAAAGTAAGTGAGGCATGGGGGAAACTTTTTTCTGTGCAGAAAACGTCCACTTTAGAGGTTTTAATATTTCTGGAGAGGTTTTTAATCACAAATCCATCTTCTATGAATCTGGAAGGCTGGGTCACTTTAACCTTTGCACACTGCAGCACAGTCAGCGCTCATTTGTAGCTTTGCTTTATTCTGATATATATTATTTTATTCCTAGTGATAAACCAAAACAATCCTTTTAGTATTAATCTCTTCAAATCAATCTGAGACTTTTTACTGAACAGAAAGAACAAATATGAATAACCTAAATCAGATTTGCCTTTTTAATAAAATAAGTTGTCTTTTAATATGTGTAAACTGAAGAACTGCTATAACGTATTTATGATCTCAGCCATTTAAATGTATTTTTTATGACTTCCTAGTTGTTTCTGTCTCTTTCGTAACTTTCTCAGAAAACATTAGGTAACTTTCCCTCTGACCAAAGGTTGGCTCCCTCACTCTTAAACCTTTTACTGCTGCCTTCAGTACACCTGAGGTTTATCAATGTGAGTATGGCACAGACACCCCATTTCTCACGTAAGTATCTATTTTATGTTAGATTGTAATTGTTTTCGTTCTATTTGAACATTTTTTTAACAACAGCAGCAAGACGATGATGGAACCAACTCTCCGTGACCCCACAGATCCTCTTATTGACCATGCTGAGGGTCAGCACTTCTTGAATGAAGCCTTCAAAGTTATCGTAGAAGAGGTGCTCTGCAAAGGCACCGATGCCACCCAGAAGGTCTCAGAAGCATAAAAAGAACTGAAGCTGTCAGATTACAGTCTGAGCAGAAGCCTAAGTCTGTACTCTTGTTGTAGGTGTGTGAATGGAAAGAACCCGATGAGCTGGCTGTGCTGCTGGATCTGGAGCTGAGAGAGATGGGAGAGCCACGAGGCAGGCTCCTGCAGAGAGTTCGCGATGTGGCCAAGTTCAGCGTTAAAACAAGTTAAGGCCGACTCAGAAAACCAAAACCGCTACACGCATGGAGTGATCCTTATAAAACTTTATTTATTTACTTCCAGGTCACCCACGTTTCTTTAATCAGCAGTTTGCAGGAGTGGACTATCATTCTTTGGCGGGGCGTTTCCTCACCGAGGCTCTCAACACCAATCTGTAAGACGTGAAACCGTACAAAAAATCTTGAAAAAACAGGAAGGGAAGTGATCAGCCATTGTGAAATTTGCAGCTTCACCTATGAAGTCGCTCCAGTTTTTGTTCTGATGGAGAATGAGGTCCTGAGAAGCCTTCGTCAGCTGTTGGGGTGGACAGAAGGTGATGGCATCTTCTGCCCCGGAGGGTCCATGTCCAACATGTATGCCATCAATCTCGCACGCTACAGACTCTTCCCAGAAGTTAAAAGTCAGGGCCTGTGGTCGGTCCCGCGCCTGGCCATCTTTACATCTCCAGAGGTGAAGATCACGGTCAGTAATGCATAATTGAACCGAGTAGAATCATCATAATTTATTATCTTCTTTTTCAGAGTCACTATTCTGTGAGAAAAGGAGCTGCATTTTTGGGATTTGGGACAGACAGCCTCATTTTGGTAAACGTGGATGATAGGTATTCGTTTTTGCTGATTACTAAATAATTTTTGTCAAGCAAAGCAAAATGTTAAAAATTATATACATTTTCTGACATTATGCTTATTTTTTTCCCAATATTGTACAGAGGTCATATGATTCCAGAGGACCTGGATGAAAAGATAGAGCTCTCAAAATCTCAAGTAATTTTACTTATGTTCAACAAACCTCAAAATATTCAATCATGTCATGATTTTTGATTGTTTTCAATCGCATTTTTTGCAACAAGACGTTACCTTGAAATTTCAATCTGAAGAAAGTTTCCTTCCACCTTCCAGGGTGTTGTACCCTTACTTGTGAGCTGCACATCTGGCACAACAGTTCAGGGTGCCTTTGATCCGCTGGATCAAATAGCTGATGTTTGTGGCAAACACAAACTCTGGATGCATGTTGATGTGAGACCTGAGCAGTTTTGATTTTTAGAATCTTTGGTTTTATCAACATGTGTGAGCAAGAAAAGTTTTGTCTTTGGTTTCAGGCTGCTTGGGGAGGAAGTGTGCTATTTTCCAAGCAGCACAGGAGTCTAATGAAAGGAATTGACAGGTACGGACTTACTAATAGATAAATAAAAAGTTTAAACTGCTTATTTAGCTCATGTGAGTAAAACTTCTAAGTTTTGTAATCGTGGTCTGCTGTGTGTCACAAGAGCGGATTCAGTAGCCTGGAATCCTCACAAGATGCTGCTGGCCGGCCTCCAGTGCTCCGCCTTGCTGCTCAAAGACACATCGGTTTGTTTTCACACTAACAACTCACGATGTTGTGGATAACCTCTTCTTCAACTTCCATTTTCTTCTTTCTATCTTTTTGCATTATTCAGAACTTACTAAAGCAGTGTCACGGTGCGAACGCCTCATATCTCTTCCAACAAGACAAATTTTATGATGTGAATCTGGACGTGGGGGATAAGTCTGTGCAGTGCAGCCGTAAGGCGGACTGCCTGAAGTTGTGGCTGATGTGGAAAGCTATTGGCTCCAATGGCTTTGAAGAGCGTGTAAACAAAGCTTTTGTCCTTGTGAGGTAAATAATACTTCACTGCATTCAGAACTACACTTCCTAATCTCATACTGCAGAACACTAAAGGGATGTTTCTGCTGAACAAAGATGTCTGAACTAATGTGTCAAACTTGCTCTTGCAGGTATTTGGTTGATGAAATGAAGAACAGAGATGGATTTCATCTTTTGAATGATGTAAGGTCTGTTTAGAAGTGTGAAACACACTTTCTTTTATTGGTCAGTTAATGTTTGTTTTGAATTTCCCCTCTGTGCACAGCCAGAGTTTGTGAATGTATGCTTCTGGTTTATTCCACCGAGTCTGAGAGGGAAGGAAGGAAACGCAGATTATCCTAGCAGACTGGCCAAAGTAAGTTCTGTTTTACATCAGTGAAATTAGTAAAAACAGAAGCACCATTGCTTTAAGATTTCTGTTAATTCTTTTGATATTAAATGCTTATTTACATTGTTTGTTGCACTATTTGAATTAATATATAATCATAATATATTTTTCTATGTATTTTTTGGACCGTGAGTAAGCAATAGAGGCTACTATTACTACTACTGTAATGTTATTTTTGCCAATAGGTTGCACCAGTAATAAAGGAACGTATGATGAAGAAAGGCACTTTGATGGTGGGCTACCAACCTCTCGGAGACAAAGTCAACTTTTTCCGTGTGACCGTCTTCTCTCCACTAATTTCCCACAAAGACTTGGACTTCTTTCTTGATGAAATTGAAAGATTGGGAATTAATTTGTGACAAATTTATCATGGTTTGATTAAAATTTAGAGTAGTCTATCAAATCTATGGCAGCATCATGATATGTGGCAAACATTGAAGCCTCATTCCATCTCTTGCTATTTTATTTTCATACATAGTAATAGATCACTATATTCCAAAATATAGTTTTATAAGAAAAAATGTCTCCAAGAGTTGCAATTGTTGTTTACAATCTGAGATAAAGACTATTTGTTTAACTGTTATGGTATAGGAATAATCTCAGTTACACTATCTTTCTGCTTAGAGATCTATCATTAAACGTTTACAATCTGAGATAAAGACTATTTGTTTAACTGTTATGGTATAGGAATAATCTCAGTTACACTATCTTTCTGCTTAGAGATCTATCATTAAACGTAATAAAACATTTAAAATATTTAAATTTGATGTGCCTTTTATTTTCCGCTTTAATTTTCTAAATGGAAATTTGGAATTTGCTTTTTTCTTTGCTTTGTCAGATGTTTATATTTGAATAAGACCAAAAACTAAAGCTCAAATAAATCCTGATTTTATTAGACTGTTAAATTTAGGTACATTTTCTCCGTAAACAATATTAATTTAAGTAATATAAACAAAAACGTAAAGCAGGTCTGTATTTACGACATTTTACGACGGTAAATATGGGTAGCGTCAGAACCAGTCACGTTTTCAGGATATTAACCAATCAGGGCGCTCCCCGGGGAGTACTTCCGGTGATAGTATTTCCTGTCAGTGTTTGTAAACTGAGAAAAAAAATTGGAAGTGCGACAAGAATTAATAATCTTCAGCGGTCTTTAAATCGAACGGTAAGCCTCAGAATGTGTCGCACTTTTGGCACGCGGCTTTCTTATCTTTTTAAAAACGTGTTAATGGTTCGTTTCTGGCAGCCTAGCCGAGGAGGGAGGCGCGGAGCCCGCACGCCCTGCCTGCCTGGCTGTTGTTGTCTGGGTTTGGGTCGGGTGAGGGGGTGGGGGTCCGGTTCAGCCTTACTGGAGCTGTCCCAAAACATGTCGGTTATTTACCTGTTCTTTATGTTTAGCTCCATTTCCAGCTTCTGTGTTCACACCTGAAGACGTCTAGCTGTTTCTCCTCTCAGGTGTGCTATAGATGTGTCCAGAAATAGTATTGTCGGAATTAGGGGGGGGGGGGGGGGGGGGGGGGGGGGGGTTGGGTGCTAGATCAGAAGTCCATACAACTCTAGATAAATAATGTTGATTGTCGCTTGGTGGGGTATTTCCGTTCCTTTTATTTCCATCACACATTGAAAAATTCTGCCTGTTTTCCATGGAGTTTTACAAAGTTAACTAACTTTCACTTTTTGTCCTCCATGAGCTGAAAGTGGCAGATGCAGTCTCTAAATGTTCATAAATCACTGTGGTCACCTGTACATCTTGTTCAATGTATCTGTTGTCACAGCTAAACACAGGTCAATGCTGAGTACAAAAATCCTAGAAGTGCATTTGGTTATTCTCAATTTGAATGAGCATAAACATCCAGATGACCGGAGGATAAACAGATGTTTGTCCTATTGAAAATGGTTTTGAAAGAGAAGTACGGTCCAGCTGTCTCAGTTGACTCACTCAACTAAAACTACATGAATTATACTTTGCCTTTAAAATTGCTTTATTACCTTTGTAAATCATATCCTATTTTTGTTTTGTTTTTTCATCATGTTTCTTTGTGCCATCTGTGCGAACTTGAGACATGCACGACGCCTCTCTGGATCTAGTGCTCAAAAATCTAAACACACTAACATTTGACCAATACACCTGGTCACATATCCATCTGCCTTTGTTTTCAGACTTGGGCCCCCGATGATTTGGGGGTGTGTGTGATCTCTTCTGTCACCCTTCATCCTGAGTGAAGCCCCTCCCCCTCTGTCCCCTCAAACACACACGCATTCAAACCACGGCGATGACACACCATTCCAACAATTCAGTCCGAGACCATATGAAATGGGTCAGTGGAAGTCTCTTCATCTCCAGAATCACCTTAATGGTTGAATAATCTGTCCCTTCCATGACTCATAATCCCATGTAGAGGTTCACCCTGACTCCTAGGGTCTGCGAGGAGTCCTGCAACACCCCTCCACCCCATATATACTCTAATGTGTAATTTTGTGTTGCCAGGCTGGTCTGCTTGGCTGTGAGGCAGTGTTGTCCAGCATGGCCCTGATGCAAGCCAACAATATCCCGGGCCAGAAGAAGATGATGTCATCCATGGGTCAGGGACACAGAGCCAGCCCCGAGAGCCACCAGACGCACTCACAGCACAGCCTCAACCACCATGGACACCACCAGGTTCACCATGGACAGGCCCACCACAGTCACATGGGACACCCCTCAGGAGGGACCTGTCCCCCCCTGGTGAGAGATGAGACAGATGGAGATGAGGTGAGAAAAAATTTGATCTATTTACATTTACTTCATCTAACAATCTGTGGTTTTCCTTTTTTCAAAGCTAATACGAAAAGACGGAGACTATCACACATCAAGGATTATTGAGAGTAAGGACGTCCAGACGAACCAGAATTTGCAACCCAAGAAGAAACACAAAAAATCTTCCCACAAAGTCAAAGAGAAAGTAGAGGTGAGAATGCCTATCTAATGTGAACAGGAAGATGATGGCACAGCCAGACTAATATTTTTTTTTCTTTTCTGTGTTGATGTTTTTAGCAGTTACTGCCGCAGATTGATATGAACGATGACAGTCCCTTCAAAGTCCAGAAGAACTTCATCTGTGACCACTGCTACGGGGCTTTCCGGAGTAGTTACCACCTCAAGCGACACATCCTCACACATACAGGTGGCAAGTCACACACACACACATTTGTGGCAGCGGATATAGAGTCAAATCAGTCAAATTCTGCACAAATTTTTATTTATTTTTCTTGGAAAAAAGTAAAAAAACAAAAAACTTCACAACCTGTGATGCAAACAATTCTCCCTCTTATTCTGATACTGCTCAGACATTTTTTTCTGTTCAGTTTATGTTTCTGCATCATAATCTGGCACGTTGTCTTAGTTTTACACAAAACACGTGATGTGGGACACTCTTTTAACTCATTCACTGCCATTGACGACTAAAGTCGTCATTTTAGATCCAACCGTTCACTGCCAATCACGACTAAAGTCGTCATTTGCATTTTTTTACTGTTTGAGAATCGGAACGAGCGCCCACGCTGTGAGAACAAACATCTCAGCCCTGAAGCCGATCTTCATCCGCATATGTCACACGTCACGTGATCAGGAAGCAGAACATCAATGTGTTAGGAGATCGTTTTGGGCCGTTCCTGTAAAAAAGTGAGGCGCGAACCGGAAAAGCGTCTGCCGATCACAATTCGACAACGGATTATGAAAGAACGGATAATGCTGAAAACATGCAGATTCTTCCTGATGTAAGAGGTGAGTCTCTACTTTGTTTTGGTTGTTTTGGCGTCAACATCATCCTAGCACGCAACGTTCTGTGACTCTTAAAAAAACAGTAAAAATGGTGAGAAACGCTGGCAGCAAAGGCCGTTAGCGATCAGGAAACGGCTGGCAGTGAATGAGTTAACATGTGACAAATGCAGAGTGCTTATAAACACTGATGAATGTTCCACATCTGTGTGGCTCCCAGGGGAAAAGCCATTTGCCTGTGATGCGTGTGACATGCGTTTCATTCAGCGTTACCACTTGGACAGACACAAGAGGGTGCACAGCGGAGAGAAGCCTTACCAGTGTGATAGATGCCATCAGGTCAGCCCACACTTATTTTTTTCCAATGCACCCGATGGACCTAACACATGATGCATCAGATGCTATCTCTGCTGCCCTACCTGGAAATAGACTCTTCTTTTCCTTTATTCAGAACTTTTCACGGACCGACAGGCTGCTGAGGCATCGGCGTCTGTGTACAGCTCGGGTGAGTAAAGAGGAAAACCAGTTCCAGGATGTGTCTCCCCATACGGCTTCGTGGAGCCCCCTACAACCCTCCAACAGCCGTCTGACTGTCTGATCAGCGTCTCCTAGCACCCATCTGCAGCTCAGTACCCCTTCTTCCTGGAGTCTGAATCTAAAACTAACCTTAAATCCACCAAACTTGAGTTTGCTCTCACCAGCACATTCATGGAGCTCAATACTGGATTGTTTGTATTTTTCTACTTATTGTTACCTTCATAATCCAAGCAGGAAGGTATGGACAAACCTAATGCCCATTTATGCTCACTTGACATTTGTAAATATGTTCATCCATCTTCCTTGCGTCCAAGTCTCTTTAAGCATTGTCCCTTTGCCCAGTTGAGATGTTTATAAATATGTACACATTCACACAGCCTCTCATCAACAGGTTTTCCCATTTTCCCCCCCACTGGGCATGTAGATATGCATCTGTAAGCTCTCTGTTATTAATACTCACCACATCAACACAGAGGGCAGACAAAAGTGTCTTGTCTGTTTGCATTTGCAGATCGAATGCCGAGCATAAATGGGCTCTTAACAGATGGAGATAATTGGAATAATCTTTGGTTTGCTGAAGGCTGGAAGTGATAAGTGATCAGAGGACATGCAGGACTTTGTTTGACCTTTTTAACATTTTATCCGCCTGTTACCAAACATTAAAGAACACACATTAAAACTCACAACATGTTTGTCTAAAATCATCTTAGGTACTGCTAAAAAAATCTTCTGATCAGATATTGTAGGTCCGTTCCAGCTGAGTTACTTCATTGTAGTGAATGTACAAGGTAGATGTATAACACATACAGATCTAATCTACTACGACCAATCATACAGCTCTAAAACAGGAACAACAGCTACACTCGTGTGTAAAATTATCACCTGAAAGTGGAGTTTATCTCATAATTTAATACCTGCATTAATGCAGTTGTGTAGTGACTGTTAATACTTCTGATCCTCAGTCATAGCAAAGCATCCATTTAGTTGTTAAAGCTACAGATTTTTACAGGAACCCAGATTATCAGACGTTTGTGATTAGTGCCACCTGTAGAAATCTGTGACACTATCTCATGAGCTTAAAACACTGTTTTTATTTTTATTTTTTCTCTGTAGTGTTTATAGATTTGTTTCCTTTTATAGTTTTAAAACATGAAATTAGAAATGGTTTTGTATCACTGGATTAATTAAACTCTTAAGTACTGGAGTCGTTTTCTGGATGCTAAATGGTCTTCATCAATTCATCTGACCTTCAGATTCCAAGTGTTGATCTTTTGTCGGACTGAATGTTGCCCGATTAAAGTGCTGGGATCACTTCCTGTCTGGTTTACCTTAAGCATCTTCAGTGAAGATGGATTAAATGTGTTTTTGTTGACAGGAAATGGGTTTGGGCTGGCGTGCGGTTAAAGCAGACTGTAAAGATGTTAGTTCAGTTGTAAAGGAACATGTGAGTTAAACAGTTATTTAGACTGAAATGTTTTATTGTAGTCCGGTAGCACTGTTGCTGTCCCTTTTGTAGAAAATGTAATCTGAGTTTGGAGCCCGTCACTTACTTTTTACAGCTTATGAAGTTTATATATATATATATATATAATTACCCTGTTCCGTGCCTCCATTGTTGAGGCGGCCGACCGGAGCTGTGGTCGCAGGATCGTCGGTGCCTGTCTTGGTGGCAACCCCCGAACCCGCTGGTGAACACCAGCGGTTAGGGATGTTGTCAAGCTGAAGAAAGAGCCCCGTCAGGTCTTTTTGGCCTGTGGGACTCCATAGGCAGCTGACGGGTACCGGCAGTCCAAGCGGAACGCGGCTCGGGTGGTCGCCCAGGCAAAAACCTGGGCATGGGAGGAGTTCGGTGATATGGTGGAGCAAGACTTCCGTACGGCTTCGAGGAGATTCTGGTCCACCATCCGGCACCTCGGGGGGGAGCAGTGCTCTACCAACACTATTTATAGTGGGGACGGTGTGCTGCTGACCTCTACTCAGGACGTTGTGGATCGGTGGGCAGAATACTTTGAAGACCTCGTCAATCCCACCGACACCTCTTCCAGTGAGGAAGCAAGAGTCTGGGGACTTTGGGTTGGCCTCTCAAATCTCTGGTGTTGAGGTCACTGAGGTGGTTAAAAAGCTCCTCTGTGGCAAGGCTCTGGGGGTGGATGAGATCCGCCCGGAGTTCCTTAAGGCTCTGGATGTTGTGGGACTGTGTTGGCTGATGCAGCTCTGCAATATTGAGTGGACATCGGGGGCAGTCCCACTGGACTGGCAGACAGGGGTGGTGGTCCCCTTATTTAAAAAGGGGGACAGCAGGGTGTGTTCCAACTACAGGGGCATCTCACTCCTGAGCCTTCCTGGTAAGGTCTATTCAGGGGTTCTGGAGAGGAGGGTCCGTTGGATTGTTGAACCTCAGATTCAGGAGGAGCAATGTGGTTTTCGTCCTGGCCGTGGAACACTGGACCAGCTCTATACCCTTAGGGGGATCCTGGAGGGTGTGTGGGAATTTGCCCAACCAGTCTACAGGTGCTGGCCAGTAAATTAGAATATCATCAAAAGGTTGAAAATATTTCAGTAATTCCATTCAAAACGTGAAACTTGTACATTATATTCATGCAATGCACACAGACCAATGTATTTCCAATGTTCATTACATTTAAATTTGATATTTATAGGTGACAACCAATGAAAACATCAAATCTGGTATCTCATAAAATTAGAATATTCTAAAGGCCAATGAAAAAAATGTTTGTTTCTCTAATGTTGGCCAACTGAAAAGAATGAACATGAAAAGAATGTGCATGTATAGCACTCAATACTTAGTCGGGGCTCCTTTTGCCTCAATAACTGCAGTAATGCGGCGTGGCATGGACTCGATCAGTCTGTGGCACTGCTCAGGTGTTATGAGAGCCCAGGTTGCTCTGATAGTCGTCTTCAGCTCCTCTGCATTGTTGGGTCTAGCGTATTGCATCCTCCGCCTCACAATACCCCATAGATTTTCTATGGGGTTAAGGTCAGGCGAGTTTGCTGGCCAATCAAGGACAGGGATACCATGGTCCTTGAACCAGGTGCTGGTGGTTTTGGCACTGTGTGCAGGTGCCAAGTCCTGTTGAAAGGTGAAGTCTGCATCCCCATAAAGTTGGTCAGCAGCAGGAAGCATGAAGTGCTCTAAAACTTCCTGGTAGACGGCTGCATTGACCCTGGACCTCAGGAAACAGAGTGGGCCAACACCGGCAGATGACATGGCACCCCACACCATCACTGACGGTGGAAACTTTACACTGGACCTCATGCAACGTGGATTCTGTGCTTCTCCGCTCTTCCTCCAGACTCTGGGTCCTTGATTTCCAAAGGAAATGCAGAACTTGCTTTCATCAGAAAACATAACTTTGGACCACTCAGCATCAGTCCAGTCCTTTTTGTCCTTGGCCCAGGCGAGACGCTTCTTGCGCTGTTTCTTGTTCAAGAGTGGCTTGACACACGGAATGCGACACCTGAATCCCATGTCTTTCATGAGTCTCCTCGTGGTGGTTCTTGAAGCGCTGACTCCAGCTGCAGTCCACTCTTTGTGGATCTCCCCCACATTTTTGAATGGGTTTGTCGTCACAATTCTCTGCAGGGTGCGGTTATCCCTAGAGCTTGTACACTTTTTTCTACCACATTTTTTCCGTCCCTTCGCCTGTCTGTTAATGTGCTTGGACACAGAGCTCTGCGAACAGCCAGCTTCTTTAGCAATCACCTTTTGTGTCTTGCCCTCCTTGTGCAAGGTGTCAATGATTGTCTTTTGGACAGCTGTTAAGTCAGAAGTCTTCCCCATGATTGTGGTGCCTTCAAAACAAGACTGAGGGACCTTTTAAAGGCCTTTGCAGGTGTTTTGAGTAAATCAGCTGATTAGAGTGGCAGCAGGTGTCTTCTATATTCAGCCTTTTCAGAATATTCTAATTTTTTGAGATACCAAATTTGGAGTTTTCATTAGTTGTCACTTATGAATATCAAATTTAAATGTAATGAACATTGGAAATACATTGGTCTGTGTGCATTGCATGAATATAATGTACAAGTTTCACGTTTTGAATGGAATTACTGAAATATTTTCAACCTTTTGATGATATTCTAATTTACTGGCCAGCACCTGTACATGTGTTTTGTGGATTTGGAGAAGGTGTTTGACCGCGACCCTCAGGGGGCCCTGTGGGGGGTACTCCAGGAGTATGGGGTACCAGGCCCTCTGATACGGGCTGTTAGGTCCCTTTATGACCGGTGTCAGAGCTTGGTCCGCATTGCCGGCAGTAAGTTGGGCTCGTTCCCAGTGAGAGTTGGACTCCACCAAGGCTACCCTTTGTCACCTGTTCATAACCTTTATGAACAGGATTTCTAGGCGCAGCCAAGGTGTGGAGGGCATCCGTTTTGGTGGCCTGAGGATCAGGTCTCTGCTTTTTGCAGATGATGTGGTCCTGTTGGCTTCATCAGAACGTGATCTTCAGCTTTCGCTGGAGCGGTTCACAGCCGAGTGTGAAGCAGCTGGGATGAGAATCGGCTCCTCTAAATCTGAGACCATGGTCTTGATTCGGAAAAGGGTAGATTGCCTTCTCCGGGTCAGGGATGAGGTCCTGCCCCAAGTAGAGGAGTTTAAGTATCTTGAAGTCTTGTTCACGAGTGAGGGAAAACTGGAGCGTGAGATCGATAAGCGGATTGGCGCTGCATCTGCAGTAATGCGGGCGTTGTATTGGTCTGTCATGGTGAAGAGAGAGCTGAGTCAGAAGGCGAAGCTCTCGATTTACCGGTCGATCTACGTTCCTACCCTCACCTATGGTCATGAGCTTTGGGTAGTGACCGAAAGAACGAGATCACGGATACAAGCGGCCGAAATGAGTTTTCTCTGCAGAGTGTCTGGGCTCTCCCTTAGAGATAGGGTGAGAAGCTCGGCCATTCGGGAGGGGCTCGGAGTAGACCCGCTGCTTCTCCACATCGAGAGGAGCCAGTTGAGGTGGCTCGGGCATCTGGTCAGGATGCCTCCTGGACGCCTCCCTGGTGAGATTTTCTGGGCACGTCCAACCGGGAGGAGACCTAAAGGTAGACCCAGGACATGGTGGAGGGACTATGTCTCTCACCTGGCCAGGGAACACCTTGGGATTCCCCCGGAGGAGCTGGCCCAAGTGTCTGGGGAGAGGGAAGTCTGGGCCTCTCCCGTTAGGCTACTGCCCCCGCGACCTGACTCCGGATAGGCAGATGAAAATTGATATATATATATATATATATATATATTTTTTTTTTTTTTTACGTCTAAGGTGTAGAAGTTAGTTACCTGGGACTTAAACTTCATAAATAAATTATTTTGTTTTTACAAAATCCTGATTGTTAGACTTTTGTTATTTAGGAAAAATCATCTACCCTTATCATTTCAGTATCACAGCCATTTTTTAGATTAGTCCTCGTTTCTTTATTTGCATGTATTTGGGGAATGAGCTGTAAAGATTTCTTTGTTTTGTGTCTTTATTGAAGGCCTTAAGATTTTTGTCACGTTAGGATTAAAGTGAGGTCAGATCTGGCTTTGTCGCTTTGTACTTAATGGAGTTTTATGGTCACAATAAAATTTCTTTTTGTTTTTATTTATTTAAACATGGAATGCTGTTTGAATTTTGGTTTTGCACCAAAGGTTTATTCAAATTCAGACAGAGATCAAACGACCTAAAGAAACCCTCAGTTGATTTTAAGAAATAAGTAATGCACCAGTCTGGCCAGCAGGTGGCAGCCATGACCATGCAAGGACAAGATGAAGAGGAGTAAACAAACTTTTTACTCACTTGTTAATTCATTCATGTTAAGTACTATTTTATGTGAAAATATTAAAGAACAACCTCAAAAATGGATGCAAGACTGACTTTACAACAAATTGCTTTATATTAGTCTTTTTGTAGTGCCTTGAATGAAGTTGATAGAGAAGAAACTACAAATGGGGAAACAAAATATAATAATTTGGATTCCAGTGCTTGTCATTGTGTCAATGTGGGCAGTGGAACGGGCATAATGTGTGCTGGCAGCCGTGTGTGCAGGAGTCCGTTGGCCTGTGTTGGTATTGGCACATGGGTTGTACGGTTGGTTGTACAGACCACACCCTTTAGCACCTTCCTCTCTGCTATTGATCAGCTCTGTAATTACAGCATTAGGTGTGTGCCCCCCTCCCCTTCCCATGGGAGACATTCCCTCCCTCTGCAGCCT